GATCAGGCTGGCTTCAAACTCGCAGTGATCTTTCTGCCTCAGCCTCCTGAGTCTGGCTGGGATTACAGGTCTGCACCACCACACCTGGTCTGAACCCTTTTTTAAAATTATTTTTTTTTTAATTCTTTTGTTTGGTACCAGGAGTGGAACCAAAATTATTTTTTTTTTAATTCTTTTGTTTGGTACCAGGAGTGGACCTGGCACTTGCCAGGCAGGCACTTGTGACACTGAGCTATATCCCCAGCCCTTTTTGTTTGTTTGTTTTTTCCGGTACTGGGAATTGAACTCAGGATCTCGCACTTGCCAGGCAGGCGCTGAGCCGCTAAGCTAAATCCGCAGCCCCTTTTTTAAAGGTGAGACGTGTTCGTTAAGTTCCCTTAAAGTCTTAAACTTTGCTATCATCCTGCCTCAGCTTCCCAAGAATCTGGGATTACAGGTGGGCAGTTTTATAGCTAGCCATCTGATCATTCAACATTTCCAGGATCTCTGCAACGCTCTGCTCCCTGGTCTGTTCCATTCTGAACTGTACTGAAGAGTGCTGACAAAATTATTGAGTTGCTCAGATACATTAAAAGTCAGTACTCAACCGGGCGTGGTGGTGCACACCTGTAATCCCACCATTCAGGAGGCTGAAGCAGGAGGATCTTTGAAAGTTCAAGACCAGCCTGGGCTACAAAGTGAGCTCAAGACCAGCCTGAACTGCATAGCCAGACCCTGTTCAAAAAGACAAAAAAAAAAAACAAAAAAAACCAACACAAGTCAGTACTTGAACTAAAATAGAGATGAGAACAAGCTGCAGCTGTTACAGTAGATCACAATTCTCTAGGTCCAGGACGGGCTCCGTGCACTTTATCAGTTACGTGGGGAGGGTTCGTCAATGCCGCTTACTCTAGAGCTGCGGAATGTCAAAGGCTGTGCTAGAGGCGTTTCTGTGTAGAGAGGGTGGAGCTGTCTGACGGTGAACAAGTCACAGCTTCACGTGGTGCTGGTGCTTGACCCGGACAGAATCTGCAGTAAGGAGAGTTGAAAGTGTGTAGGGAGGCCTGGAGAGCAGAGTCCCCTCTTGCGAACCTGCAAGGAACCCCTGTGGGAAGCAGCAGGCTTCTTGAGGGCCCAGGGCTCCGGGGTGGGTGTGGCTGGCTGGGAGCTGGCTGACAGCGGCCCCGCACCGGCGGTGAGGCCTGCAAGTGTGATCCGGCGCTGGGGAAGGACAGGGAGTGAAAGGGACTAGCTTTGTTGTTTTTTGTTTTTGTCTTTTTCAGACAGGGTCTCGCTATGCAGCTCAGACTGGGCTTGAGCTCAAGTTATAGCCCAGGCTGTTCTCGAACTCACAAAGATCCTCCTGCCTCAGCCTACTGAGTGCTGGGATGACAGGCCTGTGCTCCCTCGCTTGGCCTAGGGACCGGTTTTGATGCGTGGCTGCTCCCCGGGTGGGGTGCAGAGTTGAGGAGGGTCCACCCTTCCTCCAAGCCTTCCCACAGTCCCTTGTTAGCTGGTTACCATCTCTTTCCCACTGATGTCTTTCACACTGGGTTCAATCACCAATATCACCAAAAACGTGAATTGTTCAACAGAAAAACTGTACCTAAGAGCAAAGCTCTGTAAACTCCTGCAGCCTGAGACCACCTCTGCGCTCAAGACATTTTTCAAAGGATTCCCGTGCGAACTTCTGGCTTTTTCTTTTTCTTTTTTTTTGGGGGGACAGGGTCTCGCTGTGCCATTCAGGCTGGACTTGAGCTCATTTTGTAGCCGAGGCTGGTCTCGAACTGGCAAAGATCCTCCTGCCTCAGCCTCCCGAGTGCTGGGATTACAGGCATGCGCCACCACGCCCTGCTAAGAACATCTGGTTTTTATGCCCTTGGGGCAAAGCAAGACCCTCCTGAGCCCCAGCCCTAAGCACAGATTAACCTTTGACGGGGCAGGCTGTGCGTACAGCTGGGCGTAGGTCCGGGGCCACCGCCCACAAGGACATGGAACACATGGAGAATGACACCCACAGTGAGCGAGCTGGCAGCCCCAGAGGCTTGGGGTGTCTCGCCAGGTGGTTTTTCCTGTGCCCGGATCCTCGGTCCTTCCCTCATGCCCGCCTCAGGGCCTGGGCTGGGTGTGAGTGCCCCCGCCTGAGCCCTGGCCGCTGGGCCCCACCTGGAAGGCGCACACCTCCTCCCTCCCTTCCTTCCTCCCTTCTTTCCTTGTTTTCTCTCTCTCTGTTCTTTTATTAATCCAGACTTGTCTGGGGGAAGAAAATAGTCTTTCCTGGCATAAGCAGTTAACGATCCTGAAATGAGATCA